TTAGCTCCTGTTTCTCTCTTATAATCAATGACTAGCTTGTAAGACGTGTCAACAAGTCCTGGAAGAAACCACATTACAGCTTCAATTAGAAGTTGCCCTGCCTGAATTTGAAATGGCTGTGTGTGTGAAGGAACAAGGAAAGAAATGGGCAGCCCTTGAAGGGCTTTCTCCTCCCTACAACTTAAACAGAACCATCACATGCACTACAGCCTTCCCCAGCTATTAATTTTGAAACAAAACAGGCTTTAAACACTTATTTTCAGAGAAGCAGAGCAGCCTTCCAGACGGTCTGCCTACCTCTGTGGGTACTTTTTGCAACATCATTCCAACTCATTCAGCTTTGTATTTCGTGCAAATTGGTCTCAAAGTTATTCCTGATTACTCTTTGCATACCTGTAAACTGCAGAATAGGTCTGGTCTTCTTACTGCGTGTGCTTGCAAACCAGCGCACTGCAATATGATGCAGCAGGTTTGGTACCAGTTTATCCCTCAATGCTTTGCACATAAAAGTCCCAACATAAGCGTATTAAAGTATACAGTTGAATTTAGATGTGCTATGTCAGACTGACCTGGTGTGCAGGGCTCTTACTGGGAGCACCTTCAGATGTAGGGCAAAATTCTCTTCTCAGATTCCCGAGTAGCTTCTGACTCAGTCTGCCGAGTCTCCTGTGCTGACACGTGCAAGCGTTTTGTGGTGCGAAAGAAAGTGAGTGCCCTGCCAGGAGTAATCTGTCACCAACTGAGGAACGGACAGTAATGGCAAAGCCCCCAAAAGAGCACAAGAGCCTTTCTTCAGCTATTTGCTCTGCATCTGAGAGAAACTCGAAGGATTTGTGTCACCTGGGTAATGTGCTTGTAGCCTCTTTCTCCTAATTATCACTGAGCTGATGATGATCTAAGACTGCTTTGTGGATATGAGGACAGAATTTTGCCTGCAGGATGCACGATTACCAACTGTGCCTCCTCTATAAATCAGTTGTAAGTGTATTTGGAATAGCTGCCAGGCCGGCTTCTGAACTTACCAGAGGACAGAGCTCCAGCAGATACAGTCCCACAGGGCACGGAGCTGTTGCAGTTTTAAAATCAGTCTGATTTTTTTCTTTAACAGGGGAGCCCAGTGTAACTCCGTCAAGACTGGAGTGACACTCTGAATCTGCATCTGCCTCATGTGAGTTAAAATCCTGGCAGCAGCATTTTGCATAAGCTGGAGCCTCTGTAGAGGTCTTTTTTTCCCTTTTTTTTTTTTTTTCCTTTTCAGGAAGGCTATAAAATTGTTATTGTATGTGTCTTGGCAGCAAAGGTAAAAACACCACACAAATGCATGAGAATTGCATACCTTACTGCACAACCCTTGCTCATTCCAGACCAGCTTCCCTCCTACTGTGTAAGGGACACCTGCACTCATCACAGACCTGAAGGCTTGCAATGTTCACTCCCAGGGTACTGCTTTTTACCTTTCTACAGTATGGTGTTAAGCCAGGTGGTGGTATTAAGGAGAGGCTGAAGTGCTGTCAGCTGGCTTCTGTTTTTTTAAAGCCTTTGGTTGTTTTATTTCCACCTCAGTTGCATAATCCACAAGCGCTGGGTGCCAGTTGCCCCGTGCCGCTGAAGCATTTGCCTGTGTTGGAACACAAACTGTTAAAATAATGTGGTCCTCTGGAACCGAGGACTTGGCATGGTGGCAGAGACATGGCCATCAAAAAGAAAGAGAATAAGAAATCAGAAAAAGTTGTAGCATGTGCTTTGGTTTTACTGTTGTCCTGTGTGCATTGAGCAAGGATGCTCTGAAAATGGGTTTGTGGATCTGCCTCTTCACCTGTCACAGAGCTGGAGATGTTTGAAGACTGGGTCCTTCTCAGCTGGGTGAAAGAGCTGAGCATGGGAGACACTGCATGGCAAATAGCTGAATTCATGGCACACAAATTATCTTGAGTTGTGGTCTCAGCAACCAGGTCTGAGGGAAGGGGATGTTCCAGGAAAGTTTAAAACTATCTTTATATCATGCAGCTGCAGAAAATATTGATCTGTCCTCTCTGCTCTTTTTCCACATGGATACCTGAAGTAAATAAGATACGAGAGAGAAACAAGCCCTGAGTTCTATTGAAGTACATTTTTTCATCTAGTAATGCATATAACTGGGGCATCTTCCCCGAATGTGCTGCCGTAGTTGCAGCAGCATGAGCCTGTTCATTCTTGATCTGAAGGAGGTGGATGGTTTGTTTGCCTGGAAGCTGCTGTTACTGAAACAGGCATTGACACAGCTTACGAGAAATGTCAGTGAGTGGTGGCTCGTACGGATTGATGCAGCATGTGCTGTGGTGTAGGGTGGTGTCAAGGTGGGCTTGGTGAGCTCTCAGTCTGTTCCCAGCTGTGTGTCTAATTAAAGGAACGTTTATCTTGAACAGTGAGTATGATGGTAACTGGAGAATGTTTATTGTTCCTTTCCCGTTTCCAGGAATGCAGTTTCCCATGTCTCTGTTTAGTTCGTGTATCAGGGAGAAGGCTTTCATTTTCCAGATATTGTGGAGTGGTAGAAAAATAGGGAAGGAACCTGAGGCGTGAATGAGCTAGTTGTTTCGTTTTATTCAAAGAGATGTCGAGGAAGCAAAATCTAGAGCTTGAGAGGTAAGGGGAATAACTGCTCCCCAAAAAGAGACATTCAGATTAATCCTGTTGCAGTACTGCCTCGACAGAGACTTGGGATGATGAAGGCTGTGTTTGATATCTGCTTTTCAGCCTTTTTACTGCTGGTGCTTCAGCTTATTTCCTTAGAGAGTGAAGAGGAGGTCTGTAGTGATAAATCTAAGACAGAGAGGCAAATACAGAAAGGAAGAAATTGAGCGAGGGCATTTCCCACCACAGGCATTGTCTGGTGGAGTGTTAACAAGATTCACAGGTTGTTTAACAGAAAGCCCTACAGTTTCCCTGGAAAGCTTCTACTGGAGCTGTTGATGAACCACTTCTTGTCCGGAGGAGATGCCAACGTGCTTCTTGAGATTCTTTGTGTTTGAGCAGCCATGGTTGGTGAGTTCAGAAAGAGCAGGGTTCCCTTGGAGAAATGTTTTGTTTGGGAGTGATGTTTTATGGATAAGTTGGTAACATGGTCAGATTCCCAGGAAGCTAATGAGGAGAAGTGCAGCAGCTTTGTGGACAGAGCGGGCAACTGGAGGCTGCTTCCCATAATGGGGAGCTTTGCAGCGCTTTCACTTTCTGGGAGTATGTGCAGGTGTATTTATTACTATTTTCCCTGGGAAGTACCTTTACTGTCCTGCATTAGAGAAACTCCTTTTTCCAGATGGTGCTCTGGTGTCACTCTCACAACGTTGTTCATGACCTAACTGCCTTTTGCTCCCTCCAACTCTAGCTCACTCCCCAAAATTGCCTTGTCAGTCACTGCTTTCTCCTTTAGCTGTAGGTTTTGATTGCTTATTCCTGTCTATAGCTCAATCAACCTTTCCTTTCCTAAAGGACAGAAAAGACTACGTGCATTGAATGTTGTATCACATTGTTGATGTTTGCCATTAGTGTAATAACACTTGAAGATTTTGGTAACTGTTTTATTGATTTTAGTTATCTGTTTAAGAACTTCACATTCCTTATTGTGCTTTTAATGGGGAAAATTAACTCTTAGGATTCTGATGCTTTGTAGATTATTAAGAGAGGTGGGAGCCCTCTGTCACAGTTACTATGATCTGAGTGTTTTGACAGTCTTGTTTCTTCTATAGTCCTTGCCTTTTTAGTATTTTTGTTGTATTTTCTGTATTTATTTTCTCCTCTCAGACTGAGCTTCTATATTCCACAGTATGGATACAGTGGTGATTACCTGGGCAGTATAGACAATGTGTATTAAAATATATTGTGAGGTCCACAGATGTGCTAGATCTCTCTCAGGAAAAGCAGTCTGTCTTCTAACGAGCTTATTGTGTAACTTGCACATTTTTGTATTTTACTCAGCTAAATTTGAAATATTCAAGTATTTGAGACAGTTGGGTGCATTGAACCCATGGTAAACCTCATTGCAGTCAAGGATTATATTTGACCTTGTTACATTTTTAGGACCAATTTGAGACAGCGACATGCAGCAAATCTAAACACACTGTTAGAGAAACACAGTGATTTCCGTCTGTCATAGAAACACAGTAATTTCCTTTTTAATGTTAATTTAACGATCTGATTAAGCAGTAGCATTTCCAGTACATGGGAAGGTCATTTACAGGAAGAAGACAGGCCTGATGGTAGGAATGACTTGATTGAACAAGTCCATTTTTTTTGCATTGAGCTAAGGTGTGTGTCACAGATGAGCAGCTCCTCTGAAATGTGAGAACAGTAAGCTTGCTTAAAGAGTAGCATTTTGATGCACAAGAGCAATAGCTAACAGATTTTTACAGTACCATATGGTATTATTAACAAACAAATCGTATGTTAACATGACAGCTCTACCTTCAAGCTAACTTAGGCTGCAGCAAACATAAATTCCCCAGAGATGAAATCTGGAGACAATACTAAGCTTTGGGATTGTATCCAGAGCAGTAACAGTAGCACAGCAGCGATGAATGTCTAACCGTGAATACATGTGTTCCCAAAATTTATTGATTTCTTCATCAGCTTTGCAAAACACAGCAAACCAAAACCTGATCCGAGCAGGCGGAGCAGGGAGCGTTCATGCGTCTGTGTAATGGGACTGCAGGGAGAGGAGCTGCAGTTTGAAATACATTTTTACTGATGCAGAGAGCTGGGATAGACTGATGGATATTTCATCTGGTGCACTCTGCTGCTGAAACCTGAACTGCGGCTCCGCTCGACTGCAGTCCTGGAGCATGAGCTAATTCCACCGTGGCTCCGGGCTGGGGAACCCGAGGAAGCGAAGGGCAGGAGCGAAGAAGGGAGCGTGTGATGTGGAGGAGGGAGGAGGGCGAATGGGTACATTACTTTTAACTGCCTTCTTGTTTAACCCCCTAGCTGTTTTCAAATTTTCTAACTGAAATCTCATCTTGGTACAGTGTATAAATCCCCTGAATACGAATCTCTTGGATTTGACCTGACCGTAGAAAGATTAGTTTCCATTGGATACCCTCATGAGCTGCTCAATTTTGTGTATGATCCTGCATTCCCTACCAGGTAAATGACTAACAGATAACCGACCCAGCCTGCTCGAGGCCTTGAATATTTGTTCTGTAAAGTTCATAGGCAACACATGAGGCCAGGTTTTCAGAGTGGTGCCTGTGAAGCCTTTGGTTGACCACAGATCATGGGGAAGGGAGCAGACTGCTCCAGTATGTAGAAGGCCTTTGCACACATGAATCTGTGCCAGCAAATAGGGAGTGTGCGAAAGAAGAGGCCTGCTGAAAACATGGTCCAAAAATAACCTTTCAAAGCAAAGACAGCAGACACACAATTGGATTGGGAGTTAAATCAAAATCAAGGTGAGAAGGAGCTGTTACTGTCCATGAGGCTGCTAGAATGTCTCAGAACATTTTTCTTTAATCATTTTAATTGTGTCCTGGTGCATAAAACATCCTGAAAATTAAGCTGACAGTAAACAACAATAAAAGTGGGGCCAATCCAGTTCTCTTGTCTAGATGAACCAAACGCTGAAAGCAAAGTTAATGGTGCAAAGTTACTAAATTCTTACATTTTGTCTTTTGGTAGTAAAGGTAAAAAGGACATTGCTTGTTTTCAACAAGACTTTTAATTTAACTCTGTGCTTTTAAGTTGTTTCCACTTGTGCCTTTGCTGGATTTTGCTTTTTTGACTCTTTTGGAGCTTCTTTACAGAAGTCTGGGCTAGAGGGTCTGTTGGCTTTTTGTTCCAGTTTTCAGTCTGGCAGCCTCCTTCCTTCCCTCCTCTCAGCACGTTTTACACCGAGACTGTTGCTGAGCACGCCCATACCCATAACAAGACAGTAGCCCTTCACAAACCTGTGGTGAAGACTCCATTAAATCCACTGCCTTCATCCCAGGGAGGGGGCAGAAGGGCTGTCTCTGTGGGAAGGCTGCATTCTCCAGATGCGAGCTACTAGCTAAGCAAGACAGAGTTTTGCTGGAGTTGGAACCGGCAATGTCTGAAGCATTTTGTGCAGTAGTTCCATGCCCCATCTGGCTCTGTCTCTCACAGAGCGATGAAAAAGGGGAGAAATTCCTTTAGCACACCTGGCTTTTCCTTGCAGCCCAGCAGGGCTGTCAGGGAACCACAAACACAGGTGTCAGGTTCGTGACCCTGTGGAAGAGGCCCACCTCCTCCCTGGTACGTGCATAGCTAGGCCTCTGCCGGGTTAAACGGTTCCATTTTCAAGTCTACGGAGGGCAGATCAGCTGTACCTTTCACCTGACAATGCAGGGCTCTTGTTGCTCACCTGCAGCCAGGTGAAAGGGACAGTAGGAACCCCATCTGCTTAATAACAGCAACTCTGTTCTGATGCCCCACCTCAAGTGAGCAAACTGTTATAGAGCTGATTTGGAAAGAACTGCTATTGAAATGATCACCGCTTCAGATGCTCATGTCTTCATATCTTAAATCGCTTTCTTAACAGAGGCCTGGTGTTTGATACCCACTATGGAAACCTGTTGAAAGTTGATGCCTATGGGAACCTCCTAGTGTGTGCACATGGCTTTAATTTCCTCAGAGGGTGAGTGCTGACTCGTGGCTGTTCTTTTTGACTTACTACACTCTTTTGTGTCACTGATCCTCAGGGCACCCATTGTATAAGGAGTCGTGAGGACTCCACTGACATCAGGTGCTGCATTGATGTTCCTACAGCGCCAGGATTGACTGGGATGTGTTGAGGGTCCCAGACACGTCAGAAGCCCAGGGTGTTTATGGAGGAAAGGTCTGTGCCAGCACAGGCACGTCTGTAGTGTGCTGGGAATAGAAGTGTGCTGTGGGAAGGGGTTGATGGGATAATGCAGGGCCTGTTCACCTGTCTTGGCCCAGTTTAACATCAGCAGCTTGCCAGTTAAGACAAAGCCATTGTGTCAGGGCTGCTGGGAGCAGAGAGGTCCTGTGCCTCGTGAGACTGTTAACTCCACAGCCATTGCTAAGAAAGTTTGAGGGCTTGAACTGGCTTGGGGAAGGGACAAGCTTACTCTACCCCTTTGTGTTTCAGACCTTTGAAGGTCTCAGAAGTGAGGCATCATGGGCCATTTCCTGCAGCCTTCCCTGGCTGCTTGTGTTTCTCTTGCCCCAGAGAAGATTCTTTAGGAAGTAGAGGGGACCGCAGTGCTACGTGCCTGACGTGTCCCTGCAAATCTCCTCGTGTCCCTGCTGCGAGGGTGGAGGGATGGAAGGCAAGCGCAGGCCAGCTCAGGGCCCCCAAGGTGACAAGCATTGTCATTACAGGCCTGTAAGTCTGCATCAGGAAGCCAGAATTTAGAAAAAGCCCTTACATATGCACTCAAGTTCCTCTTTGAGTCAGAGATGATCTTCAGAAGCTCTAGAAATTAAGAAAACCAGAATAATTACATTACTTTAGTCATTGCCACTGTGCTGATGAATTGCAGAGGGCCCCAGGCAAGCCTCCCGCAGCACAGCCCTGCACTCCCCTGCTGAAAGCTGCTCGGGGGAGTGTAAAGTAACACATGGAAAGTGGGGGAAAGTTTAAGATAAGCAAACAATGAAAGTGCAGATGATTTAAGGCATCCTCATAGCCAGCAGCATGGGGCTTAAGGTCGAGTTGTGGACAGTCGAGTGCTCTGTTTCCCTGTGTGAGCTCTGCTCAGTTTGCTGACTCAGCGATGGGGGCTTTGTGCCCGGCTCTGCCGGAGCCAGGAGCCAGCGCGGCGAAGGGGACACACCGGCGGATGCAGCTTTGCTCTTGCGCCGCTGGTGCGTGTGGGAAAGCTGGGTGTTGATTGAAGCACAACAGACTCTACTTAATGGGCCCTGCTACAACTATGTTTTGCAGGTCAGCACGTTTTATCCTCATTATTTTTTATGGTTTAATTCTTCTCCACCTTATCTATTCTCAGGCCTGAAACACGGGATCAATATCCAAATAAATTTATCCAGAGGGATGACACGGATAGGTTTTACATTCTGAACACGTTATTCAATCTACCAGGTGAGTCTAATGTGAGCCAACACAGGCCTGTTTCTGTGCCTTTGAAGTCAGTAAAGCTTTGCTAATGTACTGTACTTGTCAGCTTTTTGTAGTTTTACATCAACTTTCTCCTTGTGAGCACAGGTTCTGAAGTTAACTGGCCATATGATGTTATCCTTGTTTTAAAATCTTTCTTTGCAGAGACCTACCTATTGGCTTGCCTAGTGGATTTCTTTACTAACTGTGACCGGTACACTAGGTACGTATTCCCTCCGGTTCGAAGTGCTGATGGAACAGTAAGATTGTTATTATAAAGAGCAATACAGCACAGATGGAGCTGTTCTTAATATCAGTGGAGGCCCCTCAAGTGGCTTTGGTGAGGAAAAGTTCAGGTCTCTTTTGACATTAAGAGAATTTAGTGGTGAGGAGATGATCTGTGTGTACAGCAGAGACTGGTTAAGAGGGTTTCCTTCACAGGGAATAATGATTGACACTGGTATTTGGGCCAACTTCTAAGACCACACACTTACTACAGGGTGATTACAGGCACCAGACAGCTCATTTGGAACCCGTGTCCGTTGGAGCCATGTTTGAACTGATAACTGTCAGGCTAAATTTCCTCAGCCAGTTACCCCAAGTCCCTCATGTCCTAATTGAGGACTTTGTTCACTTAAAGGTGAAATGCTCAGGCACAGTGTGGTGTAAAGGCTGTTTGTGCAGCATGAGTATTTACCCAGCTTTCAAATAGGTGTGAGTGTAAAAACAAGCTGTGGTTTGAACTAGCAAATGTGAATGCTGCCGTGCTGCTGACTCATGAGACAGGTCATCTTTGCATATTATGTGAGTGGAAGGCAAAGGTTTAATGGGATTTTACCAGGGAGCAGAGGAACTGTTTACACTGACAATCCATCAGGTGAAGTATCCTTTCTCAGGATACGTGTAATGATTGCTGTCATAATAAATCCAGCTGCATTTAATCCTCTCTGATTTCTTCTGATGCAAACTCTCATGGGTGTCTCAAAGATACCTCCACAGTATCTTGTAAAGGAAATTTCTCACGTTAACTCTTAACTGTTCAACACAGAAGCAGTTCCTGCTCTCAGCAGCAAGTATTACATTTAGTTGATTTCCGTGGCACCCCTTTCTTTAGTGTTGGAAAGAGGGAGAAAGAGCAGCACTCTGCTTACTTTCTCAGTGCAATTCATCTTTTGTAACATGCTGCAAACTGCACAGTCCCAGTCATTTTTCTTTCTTGTAATACTGTGGGGGAGAAATAGGAGTTGCAGTCACAGAAAGCTGTAGTTCTGTTAGGGAGGCACAGGCCGTAGTTAGGAACTCGCATCCTAAAATTTTAAACAAACGTTCTTGAGTAACACGCAGATCCTGTTAAACTCTGATTGTAGCTTTCTTTCAAGTTTGAGCTGCGGTAGAGGAGTAAATAAGAAACCATAATGGTAAGATGAAAACATAAGCTCCAAACAACATTTTGAACTGTCTCTCTTGTGAACATGCTTCTTACCTGCTGCAATTAGCTGCTATGATCTCTCTTCTTTCTCCTCACAGCTGTGAAACGGGGTTTAAAGATGGAGACCTCTTCATGTCCTTCAGGAGTATGTTCCAGGATGTCAGAGATGCTGTTGACTGGGTTCATTACAAGGTGAATGCAAGAACTCCTTGGGGTATCTGTAGTTGTAACTGAGTTAGAGGGACTGGTTTGTAACTCATGAGTTAAGATATATTATTCCACTTTTGGGCAAGAGCCCTGCTTTGCCGCCTAGTGAGCAAATAATAAATTGCAGTTGTATGTGAGTAAGTCAAGATCTGGACTGTCCTCCTAGTACTGGACCATATCTGTCTTGGCTTCCTATTCCTTTTTATTGTGCCCAGATTCCATTTCTGTACTGTAATTCATGGGTTTTAGAACATGATGCCATGAGGGTATTTGTACTTACAGTCCACAACTTGTACATTATTCTAATTGTTAAAACAGCATTTTACTGTAAATGGTTTACATTTGTACTATCTTATGTTATCTGAAAAGTACCTGCATTAAGCAGAGAAACACAACAACTCTTCTCTGTTAGGAGAGGAGAGGCAGTTCATTTTTTTCACACTCTTGTACACAAATTTAGAATAGAGTTTTGTGAGCACTAACATCTAGTTAAAGACCTGATTTTCTTGTTCTTCCTCATTCAAATGGTCTGTTGGGGTGGGGTGGAGAACCATCACAGGAGAACTCTGCTCACAGTTGTACTTGTGGTGGTCCTTTTAGCCATGCAGAAGTCAGGAATCTATTTTTCTTTCCTTATGCAGTGTTGTGTGGTACATGTTGGAGTTGGCCTTTGAGTAAAGCATTATGGTCAGTGTTGGAGACAGGTCGTTGACTGTCTTGTTTGGTATGGCAAATCTATTTTTTGTTTGTTTCTATTGTATTCCCTTCTGAAAGGGTTAAAATGCTGTTGAAGTGGATTATTTGCCATGGTGAGGGAATCGATGGATCACAGAGTTTGTGATGGTCCCTGCTACTCAAAGCCTCTCATCTCTAGAGTCACTGGTTCAGATTCGCCCTGGTTTGTACTTTCACAGCATTTTAAAGTGTGAAAGTTGGCATTACTTTGATGTCTCTTACATCATAAGTTTCCATTACCTCACTGGGTTCTATTGTTTCTATTTCAGGGATCGCTCAAGGAAAAGACCCTTGAGAATCTGGAAAAGTACGTGGTGAAAGATGTAAGTGTGAAGTTTCTTTACTTGTGCTACGTGACTGAGCCAGTACTCTGTACTGAGTAAGCAGGCAAGAAATAAAGATGCTGATTTGCTTTACTAAATGACAAAACAGATAGCACTGTGATTTCTATTGTAATAACCAAAGACAAAGTGGAAAGTTCGGACACAGCCTTTATTCTGAGCCAGTGATCCATGTGATTTTGTACTCACGTGCACGTTTTTTACGTAAAATGTAAAAGCCAGAGGAAATGTTATCCCGGGGCACAGGTGAATACACTGGCATGTCTCGTGTTGTTTCTTTTGGTGGTGAAAGGAACTGTGTTCTCTGCCCATGTTTTTTCTCTGCCCAAGCAGACTTCTTATTAAAAAAGAACGGATGAGCATCTTTTTAGTCAGAAGTATTCCTCAGCCATCCAACAAAAATGTTATACGCGTTTAACCATGAGAGACTGAGGGAAAGATCCTGAAAGACTCACCAATGTCTAGTCTCTTGATAGCCCCAAAATCTGTGTTCAGCACATCTAATTGAGCAAGCTATAGTGGTTCCCTTACTTTTGCCCTCTCAGCAGTGTGCAAGGTCCCTTTGGACCACTTGCAATATAATTATTCTTTAGGTTAGATGAGCTCTGTGGTAGAGTATCACTTTAAAGTAGTTAACCTTGTTTCTAGTTACATACCTGCAAAATTCTTAGGAAACCGTTCTGTGAGGTAATCAGCTACTCTGGCAATGGGCTAAGATTTATGATTCAATAAAAATAGCCCCAGGAATAAATTTTCCTTAATTTGAGGTTGGAATTATAATGCGCTCCAACTCGACTCGTGTGAGCTCAGATTTCACCTGCCTCTGGGCTCCTTTCGGGAATGGACTTGGAGCTGGAGGAGCTGCTCCAGCATGCCTGGCACAGAGCAGATTGGTGGGAGCAGCACAGAGTGTCTGGCACTGTGGTTGGCAAAGGCACCGCAGCCCTGCTGAGCCCTTCCCCCTCACCTTCCTCCCCTGGGCTCTGCTCTGGAGGGGTGTTATGAGGAAGGACCAGCAGCTTTCCTGGCTCTGACTAGTGCAAAACACATGAGTTTGCTTGCTTGATGGTTTGATTTGCTTTGTTTTGTCTAGTGGGATCATAGTTGAGAGTGTTTTGCTGACAATGAATCTCTGTAACTTCTGTGTGACTTGTATGTCCCTTGGCTTTCAGGGGAAGCTGCCACTGCTGCTCAGCCGCATGAATGAAGTTGGGAAGGTGTTTCTTGTCACAAACAGCGACTATAAATACACAGACGTAAGTGCTGCTTGAATTGTTGTGTTGGTATATAAGGGAATAAGCAAAGGCCAGGCATTCATTTGTATGGGTTTTGGTTGGACATCTTCTGGTGGAGACTCAGGTGTTTACTAAGCTAGGTGTAGGATGGTTTAGTGGTAAATGCAGATTGATTAGGTCTTGAGTCATCTTTTGTAGTCCTGGTTCTGCTACTGACCTAGTATGGGCCTGGCTTAAGTCCCTCTGTGCCTCACTCAGTTCATCAGCTTTTAAAAGGCTGAAAGAGAAAGTGTTACTCATTTTAGATTTCAGCATCCTTTAAAATGCAGAACTTCCCTTTCAAGTGCGATAGTCTGAGTACAGACAGGTCACCAAAGCCATGGTCCTGGAGAGCTCTCAGAGCCAAAAAGGGCTGTCTGCTGTGCTGTAGGAATAAACACGGTCACTTCAACTCCAGGTAAATGGCAGGATATGGCAACACTAATCCAACTTGTGTGCCATTTAAAGTAGATTTCTGCACCAAATATGTTCTTTGATTATAAAAATTACTGGTTCAATTCCTGTCACTTTAAATTCCATCCATTCATTTTGTCTCCAAATCGTATGCTGACTTTTGTGTAAATCCTGAAAATAAAGTTCTGTAACCTGAACAGATAAAAACAGAAAAGTATGCTTTTATAAACTACACAAATGTATGCTTAAAAATGCATCTTTGAATACTTCCTTTCTGTCTTTCAGAAAATCATGACTTACTTGTTTGACTTTCCACATGGACCAAAGGTATGTGATTTCTAGACTGCAGTTCCAATAGCAACTGATGTGCCTAATTATCTGTGTAGCTGGAAAGCATTTTAATCCTGCTTCATCGGCTGCATGGGATTAGTTGCTTTAATCTGGTTAAAATACGCTTGCTGTTTTGTGTCCTATTTGAATGAGATCAAAGGAAATACAATACAACAAAGAGAAAAGAGGCATCATCTGGTCTCAAACAATAATCTGTGTTAATGATAACATTATTTTAGCGATAACACATTTTAACTGTGGCATTTTGCAGCCAGGTTTCTTAGAAATCTTGCACAATCTTTTAGATGTTGTTAAAAAAAACTTTGATGGAAAGGAGAGAGTTTTATAAGACAGCAGAAACATTTATGGCTGATTGTGCCTTGGCTATGGTAACTCCAGAAGTTTTAGTCATGCCTTTTCTGGTTTTCTGAGGTCAAAACTCAGCCCTGCAACTTTTGGAAAGAGGCCTGTGAACTGAATTGATACTGCTTTCTCAATCTCCCAGTGGGAGGCTATCTCACGCTCAAAAGATGTGTTTTCACCATGTGCTCTAAAGGTAAAAAGGCAGCCAAGGGAGAAATTTTCAGAACACGGAAAATCACCACAACTGATAGCTCAGAAAACTCCTTGCTGTGGCCTTGATCTCAGAAAGAGCAGAAACATGGAGCAGAACGGGCTCATGAATGCCCAGTGTCCTTTGGGCATTCATGAATAGAGTCCAGGCATTTTCCCACTCTTGGCAAATGTACCAGCGTGGCCTTGTAAGGCTGAAGCTGGGATGTCGCATGTGTCTGGATCTATGCAGGGTGTCACCTTCAGGAACAGTGGCAGTGGTGTCATTTACATCATTTCTTTACATGACAGCTGTGCTGTGGCATGGATGTTCAGTGCAGTTCTCTTATCTCACACCACGTCCCCAGTCCTCCCTGCTAGGCTGGGTTGGGATGAGCTTGCTGCGAAAGAGGAGTGCTTCAGGAGATGGTGCTGGCAGCCCCGCATTGTACCACAAGAGACATGAGCTAGGGGATTTTGATGGACCAGCAATGTCACAAGGTTATGCCTATGGACAATGACACTGGTTAAAATCCCTGTGGTTGATTGTGTTGTGCCTGATTCTGGGGCTTGTTTTTGCCTTCCCAGCCTGGGAGTGCCCATCGGCCGTGGCAGTCCTACTTCGACCTGATCCTGGTGGATGCACGAAAACCCCTCTTCTTTGGGGAAGGCACCGTCTTGCGGCAGGTGGACACGGTGAGTGGCATATGGAGGGTGCCTCTGCGTGCAGTGTTTAGACAGGACCTGCCCTAGAGATGGTGGACAGGCTTCTCCTGTTTGTGATTCCTGAGCAACCCCATCACCTGAGGCACAGCAGAGCTCAAGGCTTTGCTGACTTCCCTAATGCACTGCAGGTGGCAGTAGGAAAAGAATGTGGAAAGTCACCTCTAGGCTGCCTGGGCGTGAGAGAAACAAAGAGTAAAGAGTCAATAGGACAGAAAAGATCCAGAGCATGAGCTGTTCTGTAGTAACACAATGTCTCTTCCCTCAGGTGACCGGGAAGCTGAAGATTGGTACCTACACTGGCCCACTGCAGCATGGCATTGTGTACTCAGGAGGTGAGGCAAGAGCCCTTCTTGTCCTGTGGAGTGGCTCTGACACGCCCTTGTGGCCTTCAGGCACTCCAGCTGTGAGAGGACCTGTGCCGGGCACTGGCAGGATTGTGTTTCCCAAAGCGCCCTCTGCACACTGCAGCAGAATCTCTCCATCACCATTGCTGCCCAGTGCAGGGAAGAAATGGACCCGTTCCTTGTCAAATGCCCGTTTCTTCCTTGCCAGGGGAAGGTCTGGGAAACACTACTGCAGGGCTTGTGGTGGAGGGTGTGCTCCAGCTGGTGCAGTGCAATGTTCCCAGCTGTACTTAGGGTGCTGCCGCCAGTGTGAACACGCTTGGAGGGTCCCCTGGTGCAGGGAAGGGAAGCAGGTGGATATACAGGGCTGTGTGATGCCCAGGGCTCCATTACTCTCACATGGGGTGGGAGGTAACACGGCCCCTCTGTTGCTGCCATTCATGTGGGGGTGTGTGTGGGCAAAGCTGCCCCAGGGTGAACTCCCAGGTGGGTGGGCAGTGCCCTGTGCTGCCATGGCCAAGCAAGGGTGCTGCATTTAGTGGTGGAGGTTTCTGGGATGAAAATGCACCTGCTCTGTCCCTACCCTTGGCCCTCTGAAATGAGCCACACATTTCCTTTTGGCTCCCCGTTCTGAGCCGTGCTGTTCTTCCCTCAGGCTCTTCAGACACAGTCTGTGACCTGCTGGGGGCCAAAGGGAAGGATATCTTGTACATCGGAGACCATATCTTTGGAGACATCCTCAAATCCAAGAAGCGCCAGGGCTGGAGGACCTTCCTGGTGATCCCTGAGCTGGCGCAGGAGCTGCACGTCTGGACAGACAAGAGCGGTCAGCAGCTGGGCAACTCCTAGGCCAGGCTTTGCTCTTGCTTGCCTGGTGCTGCACCCCTGAGATCACCAGGGCATAGGGGTGTGGGGGAGAGATCACCCTGGCTTGCTGCTTCTCCTTTCAGCCCTTTTTCCTTCAATCAGGGCATTGGTGGCAGGAGCTGGGTCAGCTCTTCATGGGCTGGCTGGCCCGAGGGTCCCAGGCCTTTCCCATGCTCTTTCCCAGGCCGCTTGCACGTGATCAGCCAAGCACTGACTTGGCTGGGGGGGAGAAGTTGCAGCTGGGTGGGGTTGAGTTGTTCCTCACCCATAACCCTGCCCCAGAAACTCCTCTCACTCTGCTTTTATGGAGCCGTGGCTTCTCTGGTGAAAAGTATCTGACAAGACACCTGGGTTATACTCTCCGTAATTTCCTGAGCCAGGACTGCTCTCCCATCTGCAGGGAGTCCCTGCTCACCAGCCGCTTCCTCCTCCTTCCTCCCGCTCCCTCTGCTGCCCTGCTGCCAAAGTGCTGTCTGCTTCCCATCCTCCAGCACTACTGCTTTTCTCCCAGGTTTGCCCTTTGGTGCATAAATAGGTCTGGGGGTTATGCAAGTTGCCTCCTGGCTAGTTGGAAGGATTTGGTAAGGGCTGCAAAGGTTCAGCCTCAAAAACAAAAGGGGCAACCAGAAACCAAGCCCAAAGCTCTGCCAGTGGCACAGAGCACAATTGAACCCTCTCCCTGCAGTGGCCATGAGATGCTGTGCTCCTTGATGCAGAGCTCCTCCACCAGCAGGCAAGGGGAGCAGGCAGAATTGTAGGTTTGCTTTCAGCCCTTTTCATTTCAATATTTTAAACTTATCTCTTTCCTCTTTCTTTTCTGGATTTTCCAGCCCTTTTTGAAGAGCTGCAGAGTCTGGACATTTTCTTGGCCGAGCTATACAAGTGAGTGTTCAAACAGTGACAACTTTCCTGCTGCCTCTCCCAGCATAGCGACAGCTAATGAGCAGCTCTAATGAAACCTTGGGGTTGGGTTAGCAGCACTGCTGCCAGAGCTTTGACTCTGGCCTGGACTCTGCCCATAAGACCAACCTTCCCCTCCAGACCAGCCTCCCTCCCCTGAGCCCCCATCTCACAGCATTTGGTTCTGAAAGGCTTTTCACAGCATGTATTTACCTTCTCGCCTGTAACTAGGCATCTGGACAGTAGCAGCAATGAACGCCCTGACATCAGCTCCATCCAGAGACGCATTAAGGTACCAATCATAAAAATCCCTTTTCATCCTTTTGGATCCCAAAGGGCTTGACAACCCAACCCCATTGCTTAGCCCTGAAATGCTTTGCTGTGCCTTTGGGTGGGCAGAGCTTGGCAAAGCCGTTCTGTCTTTGTGGATGCAAACGGAGTGGAGCTTCTCAGCTCACTGGTGTCACTGGACTCCTGAAAGGCAGCCTGGTCTGGAATAGGGTCTCCTTCCTCACGCAAACTGCAGCACTGACTGACGGTGCTCACTGCTGTAGAGTGGGGCGCGGTGGCACACACGAGCTTGGAGGGGCGGTAACCTCTGTTCAGCCAGCCTGGGGCAAGTGCTGGCCCTGAGCCCGCTGCTGCCTTCCCCTCTGTTAGCTGGGGCTCGGCTGTGCTCTGATGCTGCAGGATACAAGCACAGAAGGCCTTGCTGGAGATCCTTGCAGATCTCACCCAGCCCCCAGCCCTCAGTGCGCTCCACTTCAGTGTTGTTGTGGCTCCACGCTGCTGCCTGCCCGGCCCAGGATCTAACCTGCCCTTTGCTTATAGAAAGTGACCCACGACATGGACATGTGCTACGGGATGATGGGGAGCCTCTTCCGCAGCGGCTCTCGGCAGACCCTGTTTGCCAGCCAGGTGATGCGCTACGCTGATCTCTATGCAGCCTCCTTCATCAACCTCCTCTACTACCCCTTCAGCTACCTCTTCAGAGCCGCCCACGTCCTGGTGAGTTGCAGACCCTGGGGAGGTGGGCAGGGATCCCAAAGGTGCCTGTGTTTGTGTTCATAAACACAAGCTGCAAGCACCAGGAACAGCACCTTGGAGGGTTGGGTGGCATTTGATGCACCGTGGGACAAAGGGGCACATTCTGGGGTTTGCTCTCCATCTGTCTCAGGGAGATACCCTGGGACTGGGACACCCCTTGCCATCTTCTCTCTCTCTCTTACATGTGTAGATGCCACACGAGTCCACGGTAGAGCACACGCACGTCGACATCAATGAGAAGGAGTCGCCGATGGCCACGCGCAATCGCACCTCAGTGGATTTCAAAGATTCTGACTACAAGCGGCATCAACTGACCCGCTCCATCAGTGAGATCAAACCGCCCAACCTCTTCCCCCAGGCACCTCAGGAAATCACACATTGCCATGATGAAGATGATGATGAGGAAGAGGAAGAGGAGGAGGAAGAAGAGGAGGAAGAGGAAGAGGAATAAGCAGGAAAAAGCAAAGCAGCTCTGAAGACAAACCGTGACTCTAGCAGTGATCAGGAACAGATTCCTTTGTTGGGGCCCTTGGGGTGATGGGTTGGGGGGGTGTGATTCTTGCAAAGGCACATTTTGAAAGCGTCCAGAACCTTTTAACAAATTAACACTAATTAGGAGGAGACCCTTGTTTTCAGTTTTGCAGACGGTTCAAAGAGCTGATGGATTCTGCCTGGGTGGTGCATTCAGATCGGACTGCCCACCCGTGCTGTCATGCTGCTCCCATTACATTTCGGGATGCTGCATGTTTCTCCCTTTCCCATGTTGTGTTTCATCTGATTTTCATTTGAACGGTGTCCTGTGAACGGTTTTGCCATTTGTTACATTCGCTGTGGAGAAGGAAGGGATGTGCTGGGCCGTTCAGGAGACAAAATGATCCAAATCCTCCTACCCATTGGGTTGCTGCCCTTAACCCTCTGCTTCTGGGTTACAGACTCCCTGCTCTGTGTGTTAGCCAGGGTGCTGCTGTGGATTCCAGCATTCAGTTTGCCCTCTGCTTGGCATGAGTTTATGTAAGTGGCTTGATTCCTCTGGCCGTCACGGATGGTGGTGGGATTCCAGCTCTTGCATATCTGCAGCTGCACA